ATTCAGGTGTTTATTTTCAGTCGCGAGAAAACCGCCGAATGGCGTTTCCCGCGCACGAGCGTCACCGCAGACTTGGAGATTAATTCGCGAGTTGTTTTCGTTTTAATCAGGCGCGTTATCAGCTCTGAATAATCGAACGGGGGAGGGATCGCAACTCGCGCAAATATCATTTACATGATGACGCGCGCGTCGATGGCCAACGTCCTTTCGCGTATCGGTGGATCCGCAAAGATTGGAGCTTCCATTAGCGATGAAATCGACAGGTCATAAAAAATTCCCCGCGCGCGTATTCTCGGCTGTCCGCGATTCTGTTTCTGTTTTCGTCCGCCGAGAGATTTCGGCTTTAATTCATCGACGCGCGCGCGCACAGTTCGCCGGACTGTGCGGAGTCGTTCTATCTATCGCGACGCGCGTATTCGTCGCAATCAACCGACGCCGCGGCGCACCGGCGGCGACGCGTAATGCGCTAACGTCAACGCGCCGACCGTAAAGTGAGAAACTGCAGTGTCTGCATTTATTGCCGGCGACGACAGCACACGGCGCTGCTATTTGGAGTCGCCGAGTGTGCACGAGTCGCCGTGGCGGCAGAATAATCCGGTCGATGCACCTTCGAGACGCGAGCTGAACTCTCGCGCTAAAACTTGCGGTAATTCTGCGCCGCCGGGCGAAACTGTACGTTAAATTCGCGAAATGAAATTTTGCACTTTAACGACCCGCGTACGCGCCTGATCCGAGAAATTTACGAAACGGGGGAACTTGGACTGGTTTCTGCGTATTTCTTTGGAATTTTTTCATTTATCAAGCCGCGAAGAATTTCCTTCCTAATGCCCATCGAATTTTCCCGCGAGAGCTTATAAGAAGCTCCGAAGAAGCTCGGCGTCGTTAGGGAAATTCGTCGCGTCTTCGCATTTTTACACCACGACGTAGGAAATCCATCCGGACTATTCCGCCGCATGTGCCGTATCGATCACGCCGCGCCGATCGCGTACGCGCAATTGAAAAAAATGCCAGGGGGAGGGAGGGGCGGAGAGGAAGAGAGTCGCAGTTTATGACGGTCGTTGCAAACAAATATCCTGTTTTCATTGTGGAATATTTTCAACGGGAATATGTATCGTCCGCGATTTATCTTCGGCGAATTTCGGCAAAAAGTCCGAACAGATTTTGCCCGGGCGTTGCCAGTGTTGCATCGATAAATAGACTAAATTCGCGAGTGAATTAAACGACGTAATAGAATAATAAAATTTTGGACCGTTACTTTTAATTAACACATAAATCATCCCCCGTTATGGACTTATTATCGCGATATAACCCCTTCACTTTATTTAATTTATTCATTGCCGGATGTACGGCAAATGTAACACCGTGTTCAATTTAATAAGGGCTCCTGCGTTGACAATCCTTTCTGACGACATCCTTCGGGATATTCTACAATTTGCACCGTGACGGGTATCATATAAATTGCGCGGCATCGTTACGTCCGTGACAGATGAGTCTCGTAAGCGTCGTTATGAAGCTACGTACACGAAAGCATTTCCGAGCGATATACGTCGCGGACGCACACTCTGATTAAAGCAGCGGCACAGAGAGCTACGCACCGAGCGAGACGTCGGGGCAATTTAAGATTAAGCACTAATGAAATTGCTTCGCGAGTGTCGCTCTGATATTTATACTGAGCAAATGAGCGACTTGCACGCATATACACACACACACACATATATATATATATATTTATATGCGTCTGTATAATCTGTCCGTATATATTTGTATGTTTATTTTTAACAATGTTTATACGCGTTAAGTCGCGTCGCGTCGCGCGCTAATTTCATCTGAAATCCATTCCAGCGGACGGAAACGTCTTTCTCGTTTCCAATTTGACGATCGGATTTACGTTCGTTCCGTCCGTGAAACGTAAAATTAGCCAATTAAAGGACGTCATGCTCGAAGCGACACTTAAGAAGCGAATTTTCCGAACGGAGATTTATCGAATTGCACGTCGCGCGCGTCTTAACATCGTAAACTTTCAGCGTTTCGGCGTTCTTGCCCGAAATAAATACACTTCTCGATTCACTTCTTCGGATTTTGATAAGCTAAAACAAACGTACTCTGATAGTATGGACCACCGGCGGATATTTTTTCCGTATTATACTTTCAAGTTACGATTTCCATATGAGAGAGCCGTCGAGTTTACGCCCGGATTGCAGCGGCACGACGACCCTGCCGGCAATAAAACGAGACTCTCGTTGCCTACATAATTTATCCGATGCTGTGCAAGGATTCCTAATATTCATCCCGTATACGACAGCCATTGTTTCTCGTTACGCGGAATCAATTTGAACGGACGCTCCGCCCGCAGGTTGAAGAAGAGCGTCGCGTCGGCTAATTATTTTTCCGATCGATCTTTGAGAACGCAAGGCAACGCGCATGTGCGCGCACGCGGAAAGTGCGTATTGTCTTAATGTAACGATTTCATTCATCGTTCACCGGGGGATCGAAAAATTCAGAAAACAATATCCCGATAAGCGAGTCGACGATCAATCAGCTACCGGCTGTAACACGATAATTTACGATGACTGAAAATTTGGAAAAGCCAATAAGAGCCAAGTGCAGTTGTTGGCGTGAATACATTTATTAGATTTATATGGGAGTATAAATGACAATATAAATAAATTTTGTGCACCAACTTGTTCATCAAACTTTTCAAACATGCGTGGAAAATCTACAACTCACATCAAACCGACCCTGTATCTCAATTATTAATATTTTAATAACAATAAAATTCCCACAATTGATTAATTAATTAAATAAAATAAACTAAAATTAATTAAATAAAATAATTAATTAAATAAAAATAAACCTTAATTGATTCTCTTGAATATTGCGAAAAATATTGTCTCAGTTAAGAATCGAGCCTGAACTCCATTTATCTGGTAAGACGTTTTAACTCCTTGATTGCCGATGATGAGAATTCTCGTCATTTTGAACTTTGCGTTCACTGACGCAAAAATACATTTTCTTCTCATGAAATAATTTGTTATATTAGAACCCCAAAGTGATTTTATCACTGAGACAAAATGTAACTAGGTCTTTTTTGAATGTATATTGACTGAACACGATTTTTTAACCCAATTTGTAAAATATTACCTCAGGAAAAATATGGTTGTTAGAAAAATGAGAATTTTCCGAATTTCAAATATTTTCTCCATAAGATATTTTGTTATATAAAACTATTAAAACGATTTGATGATTGAAACAAGATACGTTTAAGGGTTTTAGGGTGTGCTAAACATGAATTTTAAATCGTATTTGCAAATGTTGCTTTAGGAAAAAAAAATATAACTATCGGGAAAATGAGAATCTATCGAGTTTTCGAATATTTTCGTTATGAGATATTTTGTTACGTTCAAGTTTGCAATGAATTAAATACAATATTTAGATAATTGAGAAAAATGTCTACACTTATTACAAGCTAACAACAAGTTTTAATTAAAATTCGCTACATTGGCCATGATCTTAGGTAACAAAAAATTTTCTAATTTTGACTTGAAATTCGTCATCGGCATCGACAAAAACCCTCTGAAATAAACTTTCATTAATTTTCGAAAACCTTTTGTTTTTGACACTTTAGTCACCGGTCGAGGGGAAATGGTATGACAGTGAAGGAATTAACCAATGCAGCATAACATAAAAGATAATCTACATTACAATCGTCCCGAAGTAACACACTGGTACAGTATCAGCGTGTCGTCGTTTTCTAGTTGAGCTTCTTCTGGTTAATCCCCGGAAAAAGGATGCCCGTAACGATAACGGCCGAATAAAACCCATGATTGATAGGACGGAAGGGGAGGTCTTTTCCGCGAGAGCGGAGCGTCCACCATCGTGTTGTTAACGTGAAATATCGTGGGCGCATTCTTTCGTGTGGCAACGTCAAACGATCGAGCGCGAGGTGTCAAAGTGTCCTTTTTGCGCGCAGCGCGAGAATAATAGGACAAAATAATACGTCAGGTCGACTAGACGCGACAGCAGTACAGTGTCGTATTCAGACACCGCTCGGCCCGTCCTCTCTTTGCTCTCTCGGCTCTCTTTTCTCTTTCGTCTCCGGCGCGTTCGCTCTTTATATTTCCCATCTCGCATTCTCGCGCGACGTCCGTATAGCTAATGCGAGGACGCATCCATCATCTCGTCAGCCGACAGCGTGCAGCGGACATGCATGTATCGACGAGAAGGGAACTAGTTGAGATATAAATAAGGGGGGGGGAGGAGAATTCCATCCCGCACTCGTTACATATTTTATCGCGCGAAACGGAGGAAATCATCATTTGAGACACACGTAAATTTAATGTGTTCATCCGCGCGAGATCCCGTCGCTGTAAATCCTGTCGAAACTTTGGCGCAAGTCCGATCGATCGCGCTTCCGAAGACATTTCTCTCACGAGATGACGAATCCCGCCGCGTTTATTATTGCGATATAGTTTGTTGCTGATTATTTTGGCAATACGCGCAAGACGAATCGCGTGTAGAAAGCATCGCATTGCGAACAAGTGGAGTGTCCGTTTGAGATATGTCGGCCCATTACGGCCCATTTGCCACTCTAATTCCCTCGAGATTAACCTGAGCGTAACGAACATATGAACCCGGCCGGCACGCTTGAGGTTTGGCATAATCGATATTAGCAATTTCGGCGGGCCGCGTGTCCTAATCTCCAACCCATTACTTCTCCATCAGCGTCGAGTGTTTCACGCCTTAAAGAGGCGAATCCCTTGCGAAGGGCTCGGGGAAATTCCGCGCCGCGCTTACCACCCGATCTCACGCTCGCGCTTAACACGTCGGCATTATACTCGCGAAAACGAGCGTTCGAACAATCTCTCTCTCTCTCTCTCTCTCTCTTGGTGAGTGTGATCTCCCCCGTTTCTCACACACACACACACACACACACATATACACAGAGTTCGAAGCAGCGAATAACCGAGGTCTCTTTCTCTCTCTTTCTCTGTTCTCCTCAGATACCGATACGTTGTTACATCGTTCGAAGACTCCAGCCGTCGGCCGATCGGACGAAGAGTATCGGGAGAGCGTGTCGCCGAGTGGCTGAACGTGGAGTAGGCGAGAGCGCAGTAGCACGTGAGACGAGTGCCGTCGCTCGAGACACTTGTTGCACGTCGGCCGTCCCTTAAAGAGGGTCTCCGCGCGTCAATCGGGCATCCTCCGGCCGCGAGGAACGGACAGCGTGGGTGAGCGCCGCGTGTTCTCGCGAACGTCGCGGCATGTCGCTCGACGGGACGGTCGCGGACGACCGCGGGCCGAGCGACGCGTCCCTCGTCCTACGCCTATCGATCACGTTCGTTCGCAAAAAGTGTTACCACTCGCGTGCACTCGTCGTCGTCCTCTCGTTGGTGAGCGCGTGAGCGTGCGTGCGTGGCATGCCGTCGATCGTTGCGCGAACTGCACCCTCGGTTGGACCTCATCGTCGTCGTCGTTATTCCTGTTGTTGGCGCGCCCGGACGCTCGGCCGGCTCGAGTAACAACAATCGAGTAGCGCGTTCGGTGACCGGCGGAAAAACGCGAAGTGCCGTAAGTGCGCGCCGGATACATCGGTGTCCTACCGGGGGATCGAGAGAAGAGCGATCATGTGCTACGACGCTCGGTGACACCGGTCGCGGTCGTGCTATGCGGCGCTACCGTTAGTGGTATACGTAGCCGAGGCAGCGAGCAGAGCTACCACTGCGGGGCGGCTATCACCACGTGGTAAGTGCGGCTATCGCCCTCGAACGGGTATCGCCCCCACTCCCTCATTCCAGACATCCGGCTTATCGGTTCTTATTGCGGAGGGACGCGAGACGCGATGACGACCTTTAACGTCTGCTCTTTAACCCCCGTAATCGCGCGAGGGTTAAACTCCGATGACGTTAAGGGTCGTCGTACCTCATCCCCGTCACCGAGAGTGTGCGAGTGCTCCGTATGTGTGTGCACAGTATACAGTCGGTGATCTCTTAATCTGCTGTGATGTTTCACCGAGTTTCCAGCACTTCGTCCCCTCCGGATTTACGTCAGAACGAACGCGTAGTGTGAATTATTTGCGGGAATATCGCCTCGATACGCGAAACGTCCGGATTTTTCCTCCGCCGCCTTTCGCCTTACGCGCGCGCGACGTGCACGCGGAGATCGTGGACGGTCTCTCATACGTTATCAGAAAGCATCATCCTTCGAAGCGCACGCTGCTTCACGGTCAAAATCGATAAGGCGGGAGAGAGAGAGAGAGAGAGAGTGAACTAAAGGAGATATATGCGTCGGACTGACTATTTATCATGTACGTCCGCCGGGGAAAATAGGAATAGGCAAATTTTTATCTCGCGCCAACCGAACTGTTACACGGCCCCCGGGCGAGCCGGCGGCTTTCAATTTTACGGGTGATTCGTCCGTCAGAAATACCATTCGTACCTTTCGCCCGGCCAAGTAGTCACGGATCGCGCATAGTCAGCCGCCGCTTCCCCTAGCTCGTCGTTCGACCCACCGACTATCCCACTTCAGAGCGCGTGTTGTTTGTTCATTCCTCCAATTGTTCATGATTTCATTCGTGTAATTCATATAGCTCACATTTGACTTGATATACTTCACCGTTATGACTGGAGAAAGTAAAGAAACGCGCGCGCAATTTGCAGGTGGACATCCCCGAGCGCGTACTCGGGCGGTTTCGGCAAGAACAAGAGGAAACAAAGACCGGAAGGCTGGATCACCTCCGTGGAATGTCTTCGGGCGCCAAGCGGCTGGTGCAGTCGCTTAGGGGCCGAACCGGCGGTAGAGGCGCCGGCGGCGGTCGATCCGACGCCGGTGCCGGGGACGACAGCGGCGTCGGCGGCGGCGGGGCCAGTACCAGTGCGACCCGGCTCTGCCACTACGACAGTGGACACGAGTTGGACGAGATCTCGGTGATCGGGGCTGTGAGGGGTAACGAAGGGCTGACGACGCCCACCACACCGTGCCACTGCAGGGCTCTCAAGTACGGCAGCGGACAGACGCTTTGCAGCATCACCGGATTGGTCCCGCCCGCACCCGCCGCACCCGCGCACAGAACACAGTCCGGTGAGTGCGATTACTCTGTCCTCTCTGTGACCGCTACGACCGGACGACTTAGCTCTGACAGAGCGACTGTCCGTGCGGTGCCCCGAGGTTCGTCGTCTTGTGAGAGCGCGTCCTCTCCTTTGCTCGAGCATGAGTCGGAAACGACCCGACTCTCTCCCTGGGATCTCAGATATATAACGAGGGATGCACTTTTAAAGTCCTCAGTCGAATACAGAGACTTGCAGATTGCACGTTGCATCGCGCGTGGAATTCGTTCGAGCGGTCGATCGATCGCGCGCTTCCTCGCTCGACGTCGGTCGCAGCATTCGCTTATGCCAGATCGGTCTACAGATCTACGCGCGCTTGTGTGTCTTACGCTTTTTCTTGCCCCAGGATAGATCGATTGCGAAAGATAAATGTAATAAATCCCGTTTCTCTTTCTTCCCCTCGGAAATCCCCCGGAAGTACGGGCGGATTTACAAAGCGACCTCGTATCTCGTACGTATTTCCGGGAATAAAGTCGTGCCCGCGGTATAAGATCGCGCGGGCAGACTGTAATATCAAGCTGCTGGCCATTTTCCATTCAGCCAGCCGGATGGTCCTTCGTCGCGCGCGGCGATGCTACGCTCGCCGACTGCGGCAATGCGGAATTATGTAATGGTACGCGTAGAGCGCGGATGCAAACGACGAGGGGGGAAAGAAGGTGCGAATAAACCGACCGCGGGAGCCATTAATTTTTATTATTGCGCGAATTCTCTCGTAGCGACGATCACGAAGTGGCCGTCGTCGAGTCGTTCAACGCGGCAGTTTCGCGCGGCCCTCGACAACGGAGCGCACAATGCGCGTCGTCGTCGTCGTCGTCGCGCAACGCGCGTTATTTGTCGTTGATATCGCGGAATGTATTCCGCGGTGCTTTTTCGCGTTAGCTGCGCGAGCTGTAAAAACCAGGCCCCGGAATGCTCGCGCGCGCGCGCGCGTTCGTACTTTCCAATCTTCGCGCGTAACTTATTACACTCCATAAACAGCCGTAAATTCTCGTTCGCGTCTCTAAGAAGCGGGGTTTTCACTTAGAAAAGCGCTCCCGCGTACCGCTTTATACTTATCCTCGCGAGCGGGCGCTTTTTTAATCTTCCCGCTTTACGAAAAGCAGCGCGCCTTTCGTCCGCCGTTCGCGACCAGCCTGCGCTTCTTTCTCTGTTTCTCCCTCCCTCTTTCTCTCTCTCTCTCTCTCTTTCGAGTTTCCCTCGGCCGAGTACAATCTTTCCCACTCGCCGTTTCCCGACCGCCTTTATCGCGACCTCACGTCTATAATTCCGCCAGCTGGATATCGTGCCGGCGCTCGCACACGGACACCGTCTGCTACGTCTCCGAATACGAAGGTATTCTTTGTTCCGTGACATCCATTGCACGAAGAAGACCCGCGTTTCTGTGTTACGCGGCGACCTATCCGGCGATATTGCATCTCTTGATCAGGAGGCGTATTAAAGTATTAAACGACAGATGTACACACACACACACTCTCCCTCTCTCTCTCTCTCCCTTCGTTTTATCGTCGTGACGTCGCGGGACTCCAGTTCAAGGCGAACGAGATATTTATCAAAGCGCGTTGCAGGTGCCGTGATAAGACACGTCTCGGCGACTCCGTTTCAACTATATTAATCTTTTCCACTCGCTACGCGTCCCTGGTTTCATCCCTAGAGCGCGCACCCTGTTAATAATTACCAGCTGATAATATCCACCGAGTAACCGAGCTAAACATAGAGATGGGGGTAAAATTATCGATTGTTTATTTACCTTCTAATTTTATGTTCGGTGACAACACCTCGAAATCCAGCAGTTCTCCAGCGTAGAAATACGAGAAATGACGATCCAAAGAAACCGTGTCCGCGAGAGGGAGAAAGAGAAAGAGAGAGAGAGAGAGGGAGGGAGGGAGAGAGAGCGAGAGAGACAGAGTTTCCGAGCGAGAGAAAACTTGAGAATTTTTAATCGCGAAGCGACGCCAAAAGTTACTCAAGACAGAAATCAATCAAGAAAAGGGAGGATGTACATTCTGCTGTTTATTTCGTCCGTCGACGAGGAGTCGTAAAGGGGAGAACATTCTTCGTTAATTATATCCTTAAAACCTTAAAGTTTTATAATAAGGTTCCGAGACCTAATGGGGCAGAAAACCAGTGTTCCAGGGCTTTACGACGTAGCCGGGAGGGTTCCCGGCGGCGAACTTCGACGTCATTAGCGGGAATAGCGGCTAGTAGCGGCGTTCGAGGCAATATAACACGCGCTTTGACTCATCTTCGAGTGCACCTAAGAAGGCGGACAACGTAGTTCGGAATTTGTTACCGGACTCTCGAGCCGTAAGATCGAAGACTTAAATTTCATTACGCCGATGCGAAGGTACTTATATAAGTGTTAACGGTGGTCCCGGTTATTCCGAGAGATACCAAGAGATACATCGTGAGAGAAGGAGATGCCAGGTATTGCAGGCGATGCCGGTGTAAAATTAAGATCGTCGTTAAATGGTTGCGCGACGATACGTAATCGTCGGCGATGCCGAGCGATCGTTGCGAACTTGGACGTAATATCTTCGATCGTAAAGCACGAGAGAGAGAGAGAGAGAGAGAGAACCTAACCTTACCTCGAGTTCCTCCTACACCAATGATGACGCGACGAACGACGATGATGTAACCGATCAACAGTCGCCCGTCCCGGCCGAGTGTCGATAGTATCGTTGGAAATTTACGAGCAACGGATTTCGATAATGGCCGAGCCGATTGGTAGGCACCTCCATTCTCTTGACCTAATTACGGGCGCGTAGTACCAGAGGGGGATTGATAAAAACCGCCGCCGGGAGAAGTGCTTTCCCGAGCGCTCTTTGTTAAGCGGAATATTCGCGAGCGGATCGCGACGAGAATTAAAGAGCGCCGGGCCGAAACGCGTCTCGACTGACGCTGACACGTACGTGTGATTTAAATTATCGCGGAAAATGTTCCAGCGAATAATGTCTTCGGAGAAACTTTAAATATATCCATACGTCGATACTGTAATATTTTCCACCGGAGTCAGGGAGTCGATGGGAAGAACCGGGTCAGATATGCGGAGAAAGGAAGGGTTAGAGGTTCGAAAGCAAAATATCCATACATTCCTGTTACGTTTGCTCAAAGAAAAAATTACCTCGCTCGAAGGATTTCGCGCGCTAATTGGCTTACATCGAACAATAATGTTGAAGTAGCGCCGGTGCGGATATTTCGCTAAATCACGGAGCTTCGCCGTTTTCCCAGCGGGCATCATCCCGATGAGAGACACCGCCGTCAACAGCACGCGCATGTGACCGTAACGTCAGATACAACAGACAGCTTAATCTCCCGGCCGTAATCTTTCCTCCGCTATAAGACTGCTATAAGAGACAGGGATACCTAACGCGGGGTTGATCAACCTAAACTGCCGAGTACGTCCTCCACCGCGACGGCTTTTTCTGGCCCCGTCCGTCCGCCAACTTTTCCCGTTGAAGTCAGTATGACGTCGTTCAGAACAAACTACACGTTCCCGCGCGATACGCGCGGCTCGCCCGGAAATTTCCGGCGCTCGCAAGAAATTGCGCCGGGCAACTACGGCGTTCCGCGGAAGTTCGCGTGGACGGACGTCGTCTACGGGGAAGACGCTCCTTCCTTCCGTCCATTCGTTCGTTCGTTCGTGCACTCGCTCGCTTGCATGCGCGCGAACTCCGAGGTCGCCGGGGTTGCACATACGCTCGTGCGACAATTGCACCGGTAACTCTCGGCGGAGCGGAGTTATGTGTTTGTTACGTGTCTACCGGCAAATAGGCGGGCGAGTTCGGACTCGCTGCTCCCGACGCAGTTCGAGAAACACGAACGGTATTGTGCCGGCGACGTTAAGCCGGGCCCACCTACGGATATCGTCTCTCAGTTCATAGTTGGCCGCCTCTCGCTGCTGGGACGGCAGTCGTTTCGGTGGATGTGCATACCCTCAAGAGAACGCTGAATTCGATCGAGTAATTTTCAGCGGAATAGGGGATTTCCGTGGATAACAACGCGGCTCGAGAACAGCCGCAACGAGACTCGACGGAACTTGAATTGCGGCGATATTTCATATTCGCGAGTAGAGCCGGAATTTTACCGGGAGGAAGATTTGCCCACGCATATACTTTTTATCCTGATGAAATAAATTATGATAAAGTAAAGCCTGACGAAATATGGGAGCGCGACAGAATGTTGCTGTTATCGCGTTAAACTAACTCTCCCTGACCGCTCTATCGGAAGAAAAGTACAATTTACGGGCGCACGGTGTGAGTGTGTATGCATAATACGAGCGGCGATGCGCCTCGCGAGAGTCACGGTAACGACCCTGATAAAGGGGTAAAGCACTTTTCTCTGCAATTTGCTTCCAGATGCCAGGCTTGTCTGTTTATTCCGTTACCATCCGCCATGGAAATTACAAAGAGCGTGAAACTTTATTAATATACCCGCTAATAACATTACATGCGTATTCATGATTAATATTATTATTATCGTGTAAGATGCGGTCAAATAGCCTAATTCGCGTGTGATACAGGATAAACGGCAAATATGCAATGTCTTATGCGTATTTTTCTACACTGAGGAAAAAGCACTTAAAAGTTTATCATCTGTGGGATATAAGGTTTATTTCGCAGAAGTTGCACATAAATAAATTTTCAGGTACTTTATTCTCAGTGTAATCAATCTCGTTGCGTTGCATTGCCATTATTTTTGATATTTTATGCCTCGAGATAGGTTTGAATTTATGAGACAGAAATAAAGGAAGGGAATATCTGTACTTCGGTATCACTTCTTCGATACGTTTTTCTGAAATTAACGCCGCGTGTTTTACTCGAGATTTATAACTCGAAGCATTCTACGCACAGTGCACGGCGTTAATCGCATTGCTCGCACGAAATACGACAAAATGACGATTCGAGGGAAATCACGCGGTACCATATGCAAATACCCGCGTCCGATAATGCACATGCCGCATTAGGCGCGAATTGT